ACATATATGTGAGCATTATAAGCATATTACAAAGGTATAAACTTAGGGCAGAGTAATATTCCAAGAAAGGCAAAGCTATACAACAACAACTCAGTATATACATAAGTTTCTTGAGTGTGGCAAACCTAGTGTGAGCTGATTGGTTTTTCTTTCAGCACATCCATAGGTTGATATTACTATCTTAACACTTTTAAAGTGAGCCAACAATGAAAATTCAGGCAACATAGTCATGACTTAATCATTTACAAAGGTTGTCAAAGACATCTAGGACATGATCAAGCCTTTCAATAGGTATGCAAGTTTATAGATTGTAACATGGAATCCCTAAGGTTTTCTACAGAATCATGCTCCTAATAGTGTTTGTTTATCGCGAAAATGATAATAACAATTAGATTTGATTTTGTGGTTTTAAAAATACGTGATCTATTTTTATGCTAATTGTTAGGCAATGGATGCTAAGTAAAAGACTTGAAAACAAGGTAATAGCTTGAAAACAATGTGATAACCAAACCAAATGGCTAATAATCACGACCTTGAGCTTGCGTATTCGGGGCCTCGAGGTCGAGTCGGATGTCCTGTTGAGGATAGTCGATGGAGGATTAATAGTTATGATGGCCTTTATAGAAGCCTTTTATGACCAATAATGAGCAATAAATGAATAACAATAAATAGAACACTATAAGTATAAGCAATAAATATAGGTAGTGAAATCAAGAGAATATGTTGAGTTAGAGAGCAGAGAGAATGTTGTTGTGTATTCAATATTGTGTATCAGATCCTTTACAAAATAACAAGGGTCCCCTTTATATATGAGGGAGAATCCCAATATAGTACAAATGCATTAATTACAAAGATACATGGTTGGTACAACTATTTAATGCCACGGTATGGGCTTGAACTAGCCAAATAGAGTAGGTCAGCTTTAGTCTCATGCCTTGGGAGCTTCCCACTTTTTCACCATAACTATCGATCTACACAGCCCCAAGGTTGGGCGTCGATAACCCCTCGGGTGTTAATCTTGACCATAATCTCGAGCCTATGGAAACGTTCTTATGAAGCGTCGTAATGACCGAAAATTGGACCCTTCGATTTTACCGCATACAAATAGTCCCCGCATTTCATATAGTGAAACGATAAGAAATGACTTTGATATCCATCTCTTCGAACTTCCCGCGATGATGTCATACTTATGATGTAAGCCTTTGTGATAACTGAGGCGTCCCGTCAGTTCATCTTTCCAGAATTATTCAATGCACTGTCGGTTTATATTCTCCAAAGTGATAATATCGCCTCCGGTCCATTTCCCAAAAACGCAATGATTGCGTATGTCAGTACGTCTTTCAAAGACATCGATTGTGCAATCAGTTACGCTGCCGCCCTTTCTATAAATGGAAGCCTTCTTGAACCCAAACTTCATTCAAACGTTCTTCAATAGCCTTTTACACCCTTTCTTCTCTTCATCCTTATCCATTGTTATTTCCCATATTTGAGTCCCATGGTCTTAAGGTCTCATGGCAGTGTTCTCATCAGTTATGCTATGGCCTTTTCCCAGAGCTTTTCCCTACCGAGTGGGATTGTACTGATTTGTTATTGTTGTTGTTGTCCTGAAGCAATGAGAGAGAAATCTCAAATTATCTTCGCATTAAAGGATATGCGGACTACGAACTTCTACTCATATCCCCTAATTACCCGGTGCGGCGCCTTGCTCCTTTTGCTTTTCATGGAGTGAGGTGGTGCCATCTACTACTTGTTGCATCCCACACCGGTGCAACGTCTCAAGAAGTGGATTCACAATAGTAGTGCTGGCGAGACCCATACTCGCTAGAGTTTTCACCCAACCATTTCTTCATCTTTTTCTGCTTCTTCTTCATCTTTTTCTTCTTCTTCCTCATCATTTTCTGCTTCTTCTTCAATGTTGAAGATACCCTTTGAAAGACCAAGATGAGTCCCCCGAAGAAATGGTTCTCGAAGATACTGCCCCCGAAGATGTACACCCGAGAGCAGATTAGGATTGTAGCTGTTATATATGTTTTTTTGCTTCTTTGTTTCTGTGTAAGGACCCCTCATGGGCTTTTGTAAACATATGTAAGGACCCCTCGTGGGCTTTTGTAATAATGATTTATTAGTGCAAAGATGTTTCTTCGATTTGTCTCTGATTTATGTTGGATTCCTTTTTATTTGCATTTGTGAAGAATCTGAGCATGTGACACTCCCGATTGGACCGAATACCGGACTCGAGTGTAGGTATTCCCTAGGTTCTTGATTGGTCAATATGATTTTCCCTGAAAGCCTTTGCCATCTGTCGGACCAAGTCCAGGTCAACCCGGACAGACTTAGACTACCGAAGCTGGAGATTTTTAATCGAGTGAGAATAGGGCCTCGATTTTTAGAACAAACTTAGCTCCATTTAGACCTTGTTGGTAGTCTTCGAGGGAGAATTTTCACAAACGCCTGAGAATAAAGATAGCCCTAGGATTTTCATAGACAATCCCCGAGTGAGATTTAGCCCAAGTTCCGGTGGCCTAAAAAACATGGTTTGAACTTAGAGTGAAGGTAACCCTAAGGCTTCATCAGTAATTCTTGAGTGTGAACTGGCTCGAGCTCAGGTAGCTCGAGGGCCAAGGGATCAGGTGAATGACCCCGCAGTCGTAATAGTAGAAATCCTCAAGGCAGGATACCGCCTCGAGGTGGGCTTACATATGAGTAGCTCTTTAGAGCTTATCTTACGTTTTGACAGGGATCCTTGAGATCGAGTACCATCTCGAGACTCATAGTGATATTAATGGCTCCTTAGAGCCTATCTTCTTTTTGATGGAGGTCCTCGAGATTGGGTACCATCTCGAGGCTCGTATTGATATTGATGGCTCCTTAGAGCCTTTCTTCTTTTTTGACGGAGGTCCTCGAGATCGGGTATTATCTCGAGGCTTGTAATGATATTGATGGCTCCTTAGAGCCTTTCTTCTTTTCTGACGGAGGTCCTCGAGATCGGGTACCATCTCGAGAATTGTAATGATATTGATGGCTCCTTAGAGCCTTTCTTCTTTTTTGATGGAGGTCCTCGAGATCGGGTACCATCTAGAGGCTTGTGGTGATATTGATGGCTCCTTAGAGCCTTTCTTCTTTTTTGACGGAGGTCCTCGAGATCGGGTACCATCTCGAGGCTAGGTTGATGCGGGGGTCTTTGATCCTAAAACATCGTATGGAAGCGTAAATTATATGACATAGTTATGAAACGATCGAGGAGATCCCGCCGGTACATCTTCTCAAAGCAATAAAGGTTTAGTCAGTATTTTTTAATTGGTCTTTGAGGCAGACAAACAATTACCGCTTTCTCTATATATATAGGTTTGTCTTCCTTCCTTTGAGGATTACGCTATCTTGAGTAGCTATCCCCTTTCACAGAGTTCTTCTTTCCTGTGTTAGGTCTTTCACTATTTTAACTTTGAAGCCCTCACTCAAATTCCCGCTCCAATTCTCTGATTTTACCACAATTATGCCTGGATGCCAGGATCCGTTCAGCAAGGAGGAGGAAGTTCCGCCTCTGGTTCCCGCCTAGTTGGTGGTATGCCGCTGGTGCCGGGCGAGCCAACCTCGGGATATTTTGTTTCGAGGGGGGGATTTTTCATCAGAGAAACCTCCCAACATTCGAGGTCATTGGGAGTATGCCTCGAAGTTTATTTCTTTAATAGGAAAGGGGCACCTTGAGTCAGTGAGGAAAGATTGTGGATGGGGGAAAAAGGTAGTACTGCAGGTACCTTCCTCGGAGGAGAGCATTACGGATCACTCTGAGGGGTTTTGAACGTATACACGTACCCTTTTACGCTGGGTCCCCTTGATAAGGTTGTGTTCGACTTCTATTGAAAGTATCGGGCTACCTTGGCACAGGTTCATTCGTCGTTTTGGAGGATAGTACTGATGATGCAATTCTTTGCAGAGGAAGCAGGGCTCGAGTTCACCCTTAGCCATCTTATCAGGCTGTATCAGCCTTTTTACCACCGAGGCCTGCTGACCCTACGATGCCGATCCACCAGGCCCTTCGTTGTCGATGATGAAGAATATGGGGATCGGGGATGGATAAGCCAATTCGTCCGAGTACGGACTGTTGACATTATCCCCGTGGAGTTTCTGTCGTTTCCCGAGGAATGGAATTTTACACGTTAGTGGTACACTTTTGCTTTTGTTGTTTTGTTTATGGTGGACGTGGGCTCCGTAAATGCGCCTTTCTTTCCCTTTCTGCAGCAATTACATGGATGCCATATGAGGTCCCCGACCTGATGGATTGGGCTTAGAAGTTGGCGACCATTCGACTTATGATGGGCATAGGTGGCAATACTTCTCTAAGGGTAGGTGGGAAGCAAAACACCACGGTAACTGCTATGTGATTTTCTCCTTTTTTGAAAGACACTTTCTTTTTATGCTTACTAACCTCGTCATCGTAGGCATTGAGGAGTTCTTCGAGGCGAGATCGTGCACTCTCGGAGAAGGATCATCAGCTTCGGGACCGAGGAATGATAATATCAAGCAAAAGGGGCCTTCGCAGGGCGACAATACTTATAGCAAGACGATTCCAAGCCGGGGCCTCAGAGAGGATGTATTAGCTGAGCCTACAGTGCCCGAGATCTCTTGTTTTAGAAAAACGGTACCTCCTCCACTGCCATCATCTTTTCTCATTGAAGGTACCTCGAGGAGCGAGGGTTCTCTGCCGCCGACTTCTTCTCCCATCGAAATCACTTTGAGGGATGTTCGAAGCCAGGAGCTGCATATATCGGGTGACCGTATACCAATAGAGAGTGGTTCCGAGGGGTTGATGGAGCCGGGCTAGTGGATGTGTGCTTGACTTTTAAAGAAGCTCAACGGCTCTACTCTGTGGTGAGTCTTAGCCGATCGTATTGGTTTTATAGTTTTTGCAATTTTCATTCTCTTATCAAGCTTCTCTTCCATAGGATTTTAACAAGCTCAAGTCTGAGCTGCTTCGCTATGAGGCCATGCTGCGAAAAACTATGGATGGGGAGAAATCCCTCAGGCTTCTTTACGATGAAAGGGAAGACGAGTTGGCACACTTGCGGTATGAGGCGAGTCGAAGTATGAACTACGAAAGCTACCTCGAGGAGCAGGTAATTTTTGTTCCAAGGGGGTGCATGCTTCTTCTTCTATCTTTTGAGGCTAATGTTTTGTATACTTTAGTTGCAGAAAAAGACGGAGGACCTGGAATGCCTTTGGGTTGAAGTTGGTCAAGCCAAGCGTGAGTGCAATGAGCTAGAGGCTCAGATGGATGCCCATATTGCGGTCGAGAAGAATGCTTTGGCTAAGGTTTCTGCCCTCGAGATATAACTTCGGAATGCCGGTGAAAGCAGCTTGGTTCAGACAAGCAAGATTGCAAATCTCGAGTCTGATCTTTTGAAGCTAAAGGCCGAGGTCGTGAACGCCCAAGCTAAGGCTGAAGAGATTCGGGCTAAGTCTGAAAAGATAGTGGTTGTCTACTTAAAAGGCCCTGTTGATGCTCGAGTTAAATTGAGCGATGATTTCGATCGGGAGAGCAAAAGCAATGAGTATGCCCGATGTAAATCTTGGAGGGAAACCCTTGAAGATATTTATGCTAGGGACTTTGATCTCTCGGAGGAGATAGCGCAGTCTAGGGCGGATGAATACGACGCCAAGTTCCTTTTGTCTAATGCCGAGGATAATGAGGAAAAGGCCGATGGGCCACAGTCCCCGAGGGGGACGTAGTTTAGACCCTTTCTTCTTGATTCTTTATATAGTGTTCTTGGAGAACTTTTGCAAATGTAACCTTTGCATAGTTTCATACGTGCTTATATAAAGAAACTTTTTGATTTTCTCCTTCCATGGATTTCTATTTGCTTGTGTATGTCTTTCTTTGTTTTTGAGTTTTGACGTTTTATCAACGATTAGCCAGGCAAATTGGCCTTTGAGAAAAAACCTTTAGGTTTATAGTTCGGCCTTGGGGCACGTGAGGTTAGCTCGCAGGCTCTTACGTATTTGCCTTCAAGCATATTTATTTAACTATTTCGGGATAAGTCTCCGAGTCGGGCTTTGACTCGAGCTTATTGTCCCTTAAGTTTTTAAGCTAGCTCTTAACCTCTTACGCGTAGGGTCGGTACGACCTCTTAACATGGGCTTGCGATAGTGGTTCTTACGTGTAGGGTCAGTACGACCTCTTAATATGGGTTGGTGACAGTGGCTCTTATGCGTAGGGTCAGTTCGACCTCTTAATATGGGCTGGTGATAGTGGCTCTTACGTGTAGGGATGGTACGACCTCTTTAGACTTTGTTTTCCTTCATCAAAGATTTTGAAAATTTGTGTTTGCCCGACTCTTTGATGGCTTGCTGATAGCCTCGATTGTGAGCCGTTATGTAGTGACGAACGAGCACCTAGAGAGGTTTTTCTCGATGGCTGAATGTTTCGAAGCCTATAGTTTGGAGCTGACATGGTTGAAGCTCTTTTACCTATGTCGAGGGTAGCCAATTTAACCGGTTCTTTTCAAAGTACTTTTTAAGTATTTGAAGGCATGTGATTTTATAACAACAGTTGGGCGTCCTCGAGTCGCGTTAGTTTGACTAGTACATCCTTGTGACCGTAGTCATTATATTTGGTCAGAGCCTTTCACTGCCCGAGTGAAATACTTTTGGCATCTATATTGAGGGTATGCCTTTTTAGGGGTCTTACAAGTTCGAATATATAGCGTTAACTTTAAGGTCGGGATAATGCCCTTTTGTAAGGTCTTATAATTTTTACATACCTTTGAGGTCTTACAATTTTGGTTACTTAGTACAAGCATGGTTCATGCCTTGCTTGAGGTCTTACAATTTTGGTGTTGCCTTATAGAGGTCTTACGGGGTCGAGGTTGCCCGTACGGGGTCTTATGGCCTCGGTAGTCCCCGGGACATTGAAAGTTTTGTTGGCCCTGGAGCCAATTTTGTAGACTTGATGTTGCCTCATTGAGGGCTTACGAGTTCGAAGCTTCCGACCTGGGGGTTATACGGTTTTGAGTTTTTTATGCCAGTCCCCGAGTGTTCGGGGGCGTTCTTGGCTTCTGGAGCCATTTTTGTAACCTTGATATTGCCTCATTGAGGGCTTACAAGTTTGAAGCTTCCAACCCGAAGGTCACACGACTTTGAGTTATTGATGTCTGTCCCCGAGTGTTTGGGACGTTTTTGGCTCTAGAGCCATTTTTGTAAAAAATACCAGACTCCTTTGAAATGCTTTAATGGAGGGGAAAGTCTTCTTTGATTTACTTGGTAGAAGTATACACGTTTTTGCTGCCACGGGCTCAGTTATTCTATACGGACACGGTTCATTCGACCGTTTGTCCCGGTACATCATTTACCTATCGAGACCCTATTTAGCACATCTTGGCTTCTCCGAGGAGGTGACCTTCCGTGGGGATGCCCCTAGTATTCGAGGTTGATTGAAGAGAAGCCTTGAATACTTGTTGAGTCTTCCTTAGGTAGCATATGGATGTTGCCTCGTTAAAAACCTTGCCGGTAAAACCCTTTTTAGGATAAAAACTCTGTCGAAGGAAAAGAGTGCAATATGTGCTTTGAAACCTTAAGGTCTTTGAGCTGGATAGCACTTCAATTGTCCTGGTCGGACACCTACATGAAGGTTAGTGTAAGATGTAAACAAAAAAAAGGAATGGCCATACCTTAGTGGCGACAGTGCTTTGAGCCTCGATATGCTCCCAACGTTCGCTTAGGGGACATGGTACGGTCCTTTATTTGTTTTATTCGGGTGTAGCCAAGGATGTGCCTCGTGAGTGCTATTTTGCTATTTGCTTATCCTTTGGATCCTTTGATGTCGAAGGCATTGATGCTGGTGCCACATCGGGCACCGCGAACATCTCCTTGGATGCATGTTATTCCCTATATACGGTTTTTATTCCATCTTTTGTAGGAAATTTCATCATTTGATACAGGGTTGACTGTACCGCTCTCATGCAGTGTATCCATGGCCTCCCGAGCAAGGCGTTATACCTCATGTCTCATTCGATGACATGAAACTTGGCATTTTGCGTTGTTCCAGCCACGTTGACGGGGAGGGTGATCTCTTCTTTGGTTGTTTCGCTTGCCATATTGAATCTATTGAGGACTCAAGAGGCGGGCACGATTTGGTCGAGCAGTCCGAGCTGCTCCACGACCCTTGACCTGATAATTTTGGTCAAGCTACCTAGATCCACAAGTACACGTTTAATTTGAAATGTATTCACAAGGAAGAAATTACCAATGCGTCGTTATGAGGCTGAGACAGGGTCTCGATGTCCTCATCGCTGAACGTGAGAGCGTCCTCGGGTATATAACCCCAAGTCCGCCTTTCTCCGGTAATGGATATTTTTGTTCTTCTGATAGTGGGTTCCTATGGGACGTCGATTCCTCCCATGATCATGTGGATGACATGTTGCGGCTCATCTGTTTCATTCTTCCTGTTCGCCTCTCTTTCCCGAAACTGATTTTTGGCTTGGTCGCTAAGGAACTCTCAGAGGTGTCCTTTGCTGAATAGTCGGGATACTTCTTCCTGGAGTTGTATACAGTCTTCAGTCTTGTGACCGTGTATGCCGTGGAATTCGCACACTAAGTTGTGGTTCCTTTGTGAGGGATCCGATTGTACGGGCCTTGGCCACCTAGCATATCTGATTTTGCCAATGGTAGATACGATACATGACACGTCAACATTTAAGTTGTATTCCGATAGGCATGGTGCCTCCATCGGTCCTGTGTGCCTATTGAATTTGACTCTACCACAAGTCCCATGGGGTTCTGACCTCGGTCTATTGTTCGATCATTTTCGGGTTATGTTACGCCTCGGGGCATTTTTCCTGTCTTCGATGTATGACTGGTACCTTTCTCTGTTTGGATTTGGCTTCTTTGCTAGAAGTCTACTTAGGTATACCAAGCCCGAGGGGGATCCTAGTTGGTCATCCTCGACCCTGATCTTCAATTGATATCGATTGTGAACATCCGACCAAGTCACGACGGGGTACTCAACCAAATTCTGCTTCAGCTATTTCGAAGCCACCGAGCTTCATTCGTTCAAACTTTGAGTGAAGGCCTGCACTAACCAGTCGTTAGAGACTGGTAGTAGATCCATTCATTCTATTTAAAAGCGAGATACGAACTCTCGCAACATCTCGTTCTCCTTTTGCTTGATTTTGAAGACGTCGGATTTCTTTGTTGATACCTTGATGGCACCAACATGTGCCTTTATGAAGGAATCTGCCAGCATGGCGAACGAATCTATCGTGTTTGGGGCTAGGTTATGATACCACATCATTGCCCCTTTTGAAAGCGTCTCTTCAAACTTTTTCAGTAGGACGGATTCGATCTCGTCATCCTTTAGGTCGTTGCCCTTTACCGCACAAGTGTAAGCAGTGATGTGCTCATTGGGGTCCAAGGTTACATTGTAATTTGGAAGGTATGGCATTCTAAACTTCTTTGGAATGGGTTTTGGAGCCACTTCCTGTGAGAATAGCTTCTGTACGAACTTCTTCGAATCCACACCTTTTAGGATCGGGGGTGCCCCCTGAATTTGGTCAACCCTAGAATTATAGTTCTCTACCTTCTTGTCATTGGCTTCTATCTTCTTCTCGCCCGACTCGATCCTCTTCATGAGGTCCTCGAGCATCTTTATGATGGCGGGGTTGGCTACCGACCCGTTGTTGCTTGATCTTTTTGGTACCTGCTCGACTTGGGGAGTCATTTTTGGCGCCACCGTACTGGGATTTTTTTGGTGGCTTTGTAGCTGAGCAATTGCCAACTATTGTGCCTGTAACATTTCAAAAATAACGTGAAGGCTAACCTCTCATTCCTCCTCAACTGGGGTTTTTTGAGCTTCTTGTTGGTCTCCTTGGCGTACGCTCCTATTAATGTGGGAGCTTATATCGATGTGTTGGGCGTCGTGTGAGACCACATCTGCGGGGATTGGCTCCGGCACATCTTCAGGGTTTAGTGGTGGTGCGCCAACACTTGGGACAACTACACCATTCTCTCCATGGTCCTCAAGACCGTTGTTTTCATATGCATTTACTGAGTTAGACATTTTGACCTGAAATCAAAGACTCTTGGACAAGAAAAAGCGTGAAAGATAACTTGTGTTATGTAGTAAACCAGCAAGAAAACAATCACTATTATTTTTAGCCCCACGGTGGGTGTCAAACTGTTTACTGCGAAAATGGTAATAACAATTAGATTTGATTTTGTGGTTCTAAAAATACGTGATCTATGTTTATGCTAGTTGTTAGGAAATGAATGCTAAGTAAAAGACTTGGAAACAAGGTAATAGCTTGAAAACAATGTGATAACCAAACCGAATGGCTAATAATCGGGGCCTCAAACTTGCGTATTCGGGGCCTCGAGGTCGAGTCGGATGTCCTGTCGAGGATAGTCGATAGAGGATTAATAGTTATGACGGCCTTGGTGGAAGCCTTTTATGACCAATAATGAGCAATAAATGAAGAACAATAAATAGAATGCTATGAGTATAAGCAATAAATATAGGTAGTGAAATCAAAAGAATATGTTGAGTTAGAGAGCAGAGAGAATGTACTTGTGTATTCAATATTGTGTATCAGATCCTTTACAAAATGACAAGGGTCCCCTTTATATATGAGGGGGAATCCCAACATTGTAAATTTGGATTTATTACAAAGATACATGGTTGGTACAACTATTTAATGCCACGGTACGGGCTTGAACTAGCCAAATAGACTAGGTTA